CGGGCCCCTGGGAGCTGGCAGACTGCTCCTGGGGAGCGGTGGAGGGCTGGCTGCCCATGGCTTGCTGGCTCATGTTTTGAGGCCACTGAGTCTGGGAAGGGCCGGACGGAGGCATGGGCGAGCCGGGTAGCTGCCCAGGGTGCCAACTGATGAGGGGCACCTGATGGCAGCTGTAAGGGGTGCGCGGCGTCCCTTACAGCTGCCATCAGGAGCCGTGCGCCCGGCTCCAGCAGCACTGGGTTTTTTTAAGGCTTTTTTCGTGTAGCCGTGGACTAGGCTATTTTGAAATAAAGTCAGAATCCAGCCCTGATTCCACTGACTCTCTTAGCCTGGCCCCATTAATGAACCAAGTCTCCCCGTCTTGTTTCAGATCGCAAGATGCCCGCTGAAAAAACGTACCCAACCAACCGCCTACTTTGTGCACAACAGACACAGGGCGACTGAGTCTGGCATAGAGCTAGAGAGCTCATGAGGGAACTGGAGACACAAGAGAGGAGGAAGCGGGGAGCCCAGTAGAAAGAGAGAGGGATGCAAAGACCTACCGACCCTGCACATGGGAAATCTACTCTGAGCTTCTCTCCTCCCCCACACAGACTCATTCCTCCAGTTATGGGGTGGAGGGGGGGTCAACATATTTAAAAAGAGGCACCTCCCACTCGGTTCATTCAGGATTTGGTGTCTAACGCCCTTACGTATTAGAGATTACAGACTGGGGATAAAAATAACGCGCGTTATGCATTTAAATCCCAGAGAGTTTGGGATTAGTGCACACAGATTGAAAGTAACGGGTGATATGTGTTTTAATCCCTTATGCATTAGAAATTAGGGACTAAAATGATTATCCTTACAAATTTGGAAATAGGGATGAGTGAATAAAATTAATGGGATTATGGGTTCACATCCATAAGGAACTAAAATGAATGGGTGTTATGCATCCAAACATGGTAGATAGCAGGGAGTGAAATTTGGGGTTATGTGTCCAAATCCCTGAGGGTATGTCTACACTGCAGCTCTCTTTCGAATTAACTTAATTCAAAATAGTTCATTTGAATTAAGCGAATTCGAAATAACGCATCTACAAACTATTTTGAAATAGCGCGTCCACACTGAGTGGACCCTGAACCGAAGTTAAGGCTGGCTGGAACCAGTGCTGGCAGGGCATCAGGTTAGGACTTAGTGTGTGGGGATGCTGCCTGAGGCTAACAGAGCTCTGTGCTTAAAGGGACCCTACCCCCACCCCGGACAGACAGTTCTCAGGGTTCCCC